ACAGGACCCTGTAGAGAACTCCCAGCCAGAAGAAGGCCTTTACCAGATGCACCCCCTGCACCATGGACTTCCCAGCCTCCATAACTGTAAGAAATAAATTTTATTTCTTTTTAAATTATCCAGTTTCAGGTATTCTGTTGTAAACAACAGAAATGGATTAATAAGTTACCTGCTAGATTTAATGACCTCTTCACTTCTCTTACCCAAAGTCTGGTCCCCAAGTTTGGAGAACTGAAGGAAGGAGGATGTATTGCTGCTCCTTCTTTCTTAATTCTCCTAAGTGGCTGCCAGAGTCCTGTCTTCTGGACGCTGAGGGGAGGGGAGAAATCAACAACTAAATTTCTTTGCCTTCATAAAAAGGTTTTTATTTATTTCAAATTTCTTTTTGCATTTGTATACATCATGTGGAAACACAGACACTCCCTTTATTTACACACATTTATTTAACCATTAAAATAAAGGTGAGGTGAATTGTGAAAAAAACAAACAAACAAACAAAAAAAAACATGCTCTGGACAGAGTTCACCACAGGCAGGAATTAATTGACAATGACTCATGGACTTGCCAGGATACTGCTGATTACCTAAGTCCCATCAATCCCCCAAATACACCTGAAACTCGTCAAACAAGAGACTCTGATTTTTGGTTTGCCAAATATGGTCTCTGTTCTAGGATTATAAGAAGTCATGACTATAGTGTCTACTGTGGACTGAATTGTATCTCCTGCAAATTTGTATGTTGAAACCCTAACCCCCAGTTTGGCTGTATTTGAAGTAAGGAAGTAATTAAGGTTAAATGAGGTCATAGGGTGGAGCCCTGGTCCTATAGGTTTTGTGTCATTATGAGAAGAGACACCAGAGAGCTTGATGGCTCTCTTTTTGTCATGTGAGGACACAGCAAAAAGGCAGTAGACTGCAAGCCAGGAAGAGAGTCCTTGCCAGGAACCTCGTAGCATGGCACCTTGTTCTTGGACTTCCCAGCCTCCAAAACTATGAGAAAGTAAGTATTTGTTGTTTAAACCACCCAGTATGTGGTATTTTGTTATGGCAGCTTCTTATTAATAAGATTTAATAAGATAATAATAAGATATAATAATAAGATTTGGGATTTTTTTTTAAAAATCAAGCACGGTAGAGCTGAAACATCCAGATTAGTATTTATTTTGAAGGCTATTTATGGGGGCTGGTGTAACCCAAAACTTTGCTGGAGCTTTTCTTTCACATTTTCCTTTGGAGACAATTGGTGAGCTGCACAAGAAGACCAGCTGTGTGACTTTATAGTCAAAAATTTTGTTTTTAAGCCAAACATGATGCTTTATAAATTGCCACACATCCTATTCACTAGATTAGGCAGCCATTAAAAGCTCAAGTTTCTCCCAAAGGATGGAGACTTGCAACTGTAGAGAATATTCAAAAGACTATTTGTTGAACAAATTAATTTACCATAGGCTTTGAAAGCCCAAACAACAGAGATGCCCAGGACTCAAAGAACTCACAGATGGGTGACAAAGACCACTGCTGGCAATCTCTGAGAACTCAGAGAGAATTGGAGAGGTGCCAGGAGACTGGAGCTGGGTAAATATTGTTCAATGTCTTTTTAAGGGAGAAAAATGCAAATATAGGAAATTGTAGTTTAACTGACTTGGTATTTTTGATCCCCAGTAGAATTTGATAAGCAAATAATTAGGACCAGAATTTGAGGAAACATAGTCAAAACATTGTTGATATTAAGATCTACTTAGTCTCTGATGCCACCTCTGAGAACAAATTGGAGAAAAAAGAGCAGAATGACACCATAATTAAAGGGCTTTGTAGCTTTATGTGTAGTTGAGTGATTCTATGTGAAAAGTGTTGACATAGAAGCTAACAGAATATTTTTCAGTGAAAAATCAGGTTGTAAAACAGTAGAATACTGTTGTTGTAAATAATACAGAGATATAAATATAAAGAAAAATTCCTGAGAGGTTCTCAAAATGTTATTAGTAGTTGTATCTGGGAATTATTTTTTCTTGTTGGCTTCCTTTTTTGAATGTCTACATTTTATATGATTAAGTTATGGACAAATGTTTTTTTAATTGCAAAAAAAGAAAAGTCAGAAGGAAAAAATCACAAAAAACCAGAAATATTGATTACTATATTGATTTTATGTGTAGGAGGATGTTGGGAAAGATGGTATCTCCTTTACGTTAATGTGGAATTCTTACATGTTTGCATTTTCTATTAAAAGGAGTTCTCAAGACTGTCTTGTCAGGAGAATCACCAGGGACACCATGAAAAATGTGGATGCTGGGCTCTACCATTCTGATACCATAGACCTGGGGTAAGGCTTGGGAATCCAACCACAGGGAATTGGTTAAATGATGGCAGATCCATATATTCAGTAACAATGATGTAGGGGAGACTACTTAATGACCTAGGAAATTATTCATAGTATCATAAATACTGGCTACAATTTTGTAAATAAGAGAAAATTGTGCACACCTCCCCCCCAAAAGAACATGCATCAAAATGTTAAAAACTATTGATCTCTTGTATAATGGGATTTTCTTTCTTTTCTTTTCTTTTTTTTTTTTTTGATTTGTTGCACTTTCTAAATTTTTATACTTAAAAAATTTGTATTCACACATACTGATTATACATATTTACAGGGTGCAGAGTTATATTTCAATACATGTTTACATTGTGATGATCAAATCAAGGTAATTAGCATATTCATCATTGAAAAACTTAATCATTTCTTTGTGATGTGGACTTTTGATCTCCTCTCTTCTAGCTATTTGATAACATGCAATAAATTATTGGTAATTATAGATGCCTACCTTGGCTGTATACCAATAGAACTTATTTTTCCTATTTAACTGTAATTTTGTATTCATTAACCAACCTTTCCCTATCCCCCCTTCCCTTGGCCATCTCTAGTAACCACAATTCTACTCTCTCCTTTTAGAATTTCAACTATTTATTTATTTATTTTGTGTATTGGTTTTGTAGTTATCTAAAAATCTTCATTTGCATCCTTTCCTTCATGAGTAGTATAATTGCAAAAGATAAAGAGTTGACAGAAAGTTTCATAATGGAGGTAAAGTTTTTTTTGTTTGTTTGTTTGTTTTTAGTTTTATTTGGAGGTAAATTTTGAACCACAGCACCATTCTGTTTTCCTAAAAGGAAGATCCACATGGAAACACTAGCCAGGTAAGGGTTTAGCAGTTGGGATGAACCCTTACAAGCTGGTGAAATAGTGATCGTTCAGGATACATTGTAAATCTAATCTGATTACATCTCCAGTAAGAATTTCTGTCTTTATCCTTCCACAGGTTCTATGGAATAGATGGCATTCCCTTGTGCAGGAGGCGCAGTGGTTACTTGTGTTTATGTATTTATTCGTCAACGAGATCTTGTTCAAACCTATCTGTTCCCATGTGGCATAGCCCCAAGGCTTCACAGTGCTGCATCATCAATTAAAAATAGTTACACCAAGTTCATTAGTCATTTCTCCAAATTCATTATGTTTATGTTTCAGACCTATTTATTGGATGGCTGCTATGTTAGCATTATGTTCTGGAAACTAGAGATAAATAAGGCTTAAATTCCTAAATAACGCCCTAAAGAGATCAATTTAGGTAGAGAGATAGAGAGCTTTAAAAATTGATAAATTCAGTAAAATATGAAATACAATGGTAAACTCACAGTATGAAATTAGAGTGGAGGTTCTGATCCCTGGCTACACATGGAATTAACTCTGGAGGCTTTTGAAAAATAGACACCTTGTCCCCACCACCAGAACATTGAATTACCAGGTGTAGGGTGAGAGCCCAGTATTCACAGATCAAAATAATCTTTCCAGGTGACTCTGATCTATAGCTGAGTGTTGAGACCCACTGTATTCCAGCAACTAATTCTGCCTGTGGTGTTCCAGAACACAGCAATGAGGAGATGGAATTGAACAGAATCTGGGAGGAGGAATACGACTTGGATGTCAAAAGATAATGCAACAGAAAAAATAGGGCGTTCAAAGTCAAGAAGCCTGGCCAGGGCCAGGTGGATCTGGGAATTTGTGAGTGGCCCAGGATGTCAGAAGCACAGAGGACATAGTGCAGGTGTCATGTGTGCAGGAAGAGAGGGCGTGGAGGATCCTGGACAGGGGCAGACAGGAACGTGAGAGACTAGCCTAGCACGTGTGGGGCCAGAGCTCTCGACGAACAAGAGCGTGTGGGCATTAGGGCTGTGGGGGAGAGACCTGGTCACAGTGCCTGTGGTGGCCAGGGAAGTGACCAGATGGTGGAGACTGCTGGGCAGGACTGGAGAGACATTTCTGAGGCCGAAGTCACAGAATTTGGCAACTGCGTGTGCTGTTATCTATCAGTAATATCACTTCTGGAATTTTTTGAGTCTTCACTTTGTATTTTTTCCTCAAATAGTAGAAAGCATTCCCTTGTGTTGACATGTCCCCAGTTATTTTACTTTTTCTCTATATAACTAGAGAATACTAAATGGGAGAGGAAAAACTGCCATTATGATGACTGAATGAGATTATATATATATATTCTTTTTTTGTATTCACATACAAGGGTACTTCAAAAATTTCATGGAAGGATTTGTGTTATCTTTTCATTCTATTTTTCCATGAACTTTTTGAAGTACCTTTGTGTATGTTTTTTCCCCTTATGATCAATAATCACCTTTAGCAGACCACATACTGAGTACATCTGTGAGCTTTGTGAGCACAGTATTAGGGGAACTCGGGGAGCCCATCCCTGCCTGTGTCCCATTGTGCTGTGTCACTTGACATTTCTGAATGCAAATATGTCTGACAAGTGTAAATGAGGGTGTCACATTGGAGTGGTACCATTCCCTCCTTGCCATTTGTTATCATGCATGTGTTCAGGGATGAATGTCCTATTTCATCTCCTAATATTTTCACAGCTGGAATTTTTTTAGAGTGCAGTGGTGACTTCTGTGGCTTCAAAGGTGAAGAAATGAATCTGACTTTTCTCCTTACAGAATTCAATGCATTTTCAAATACCTTGAAAAAATGCCGGAATCAGAAAAAGGAAAATTCAGTGTTCAGTCAGTGGACAGAAGAAGTGTCTGCCTCACAATACTCCCAGATCAGGAAAGTTGCTCTGGATGGAATTAATTGATTTGTTTCAATGTGACACATACCTGTGAACACGCCTGGGCAGGGTGGGTGGCAAGGAAACAATTGATTTTTTTTTTTTCCTTTTTGTCTTTTTCCGTGTCCAGCAACGGATCGCAACCCTCAGTGTCGCCCCCGTACCGGACCAGGACCAGCAACGGGATCGCAACCCTCGGTGCCGCTCCCGCACCTCGCTCAGCCAGTGAGTGGGAACCGGTCTGTATGTGGGATCCGAACCCTCGGCGGGAGCGCCACCACACTCCCAGACGGCGCACTGCAGCAGTGCACCACCGGGCCGGCCCCAATTTTTTATTGTAGTTGTTCTCAAAGTGTGGTCCCCAGACCAGCAGCAGTGTCACCTGGTTTGATCCCCATTCTGCCACGTGTAGTTGTCAGGACTTGGGCAAGTTGCTGTGTATTTCTGAGCCTCAGTTTCCTTGGCTGAGGAACATGATTCACCTGTCTGACTGTTGTGATGACTGAATTTGATTAGATGATGTTCAGGAAGCACTTGGCATGGTGCCTGGCACATAGAAAGCTCTACCGAATGGTGGCAGTTACAGTGACGATATTTATCACTGTCAGTGTTGGTGGATTTACACCCACTGCACCCCCCAGCTGACTTGCCTTGCTTCCATCACCCTCACTGACCCTTCCCCCCCATATTCACCCAGGATTTCTACCCAAGTTTTCTTTTCCTCTTGAGGTTAATGGCGCCCATCAAAGCAGGCCATCCCTTTTGGCCCTGGCCCTTTTCTGTCTAACTCTATTATTCTTGATCTGTGCTCTCTAATAGCCTCTACTTTGGGAACAGACCCTGGGTATGTATCCCGTCTGTATCTAGGCCTGGCTGTATTACATGGAGCAGGAGTCAGAAGTGCGGGATCCACTTAGATGTCTATGCCTTACACAGAGGAGCAACATGGACAGAGCTTCAGCTTCCCTGGTGTTAAAGGCTCTGCCTGCCTTGACCAAGGCGGCGTAAGAACCAGATACTCATGAAGGTGCTGCCTTGTGCATTGTTTACTCTGTCTCCTTCTCTTCCCCTTACAGTTTTATGGCTGCACTTCCCAGCAGCAGAACATGATGCAAGATTTCGTGAGAACAGCCACTTACCACAGAGCCATCCTCCAGAACCACATTGACTTTAGAGACAAGGTAATGCTGGCAGCAGGTTATTAATCTCATGATATTTTAAGAAGCTTTTTCAAGGCCAGAATCAAAATGAAGATTTGGTAGAATTATCATATGATCCAGCAATTCCAGTCTGAGCTAAACAGGTATTCAAACAAATGCTTGTATACAAATGTTCATAGCAGCACTATTCAAAATAGCCAAAAAGTGGAAACAATCCAAATTTTCATCAATAGATGAATAAATAAACAAAATGTGATATATCTGCACAGTGGAATATTATGAATATTATTTATAGTTACATTATTTGCAAAAAGAAATTAAATGCTGATTCACATGCTTTAATGTAGATGAATCTCAAAAACATGCTAAGTGAAAGAAACCAGTCACAAGGATCATATGATTTCATTTATACTAAGCATCCAGAATAGGTAAACCCATAGATACAGAAAGAACACTAGTGGTTGCTAGGGCTGCAGTGGAATGAGTTTGGGCGGGGGGGGGGGCAGATAATGGTAAATGACTGCTTAATGGGGACAGTTTTCTTTTTGGGGTGATGAAAATATCTTGGAACTAGATAAAGGTAATGGTTGCACATCATAATGAATATACTTAATGACACTAAATTTTACACTTTACAATGGTTAACGGTTAATTTGATGTTATGTGAATTTTATCTCAATAAAAAAATTATGCTTTGAGTGCCAGAAACTCAAGAGACTGAATACACTATGTTTTGGCGCATAAAGCAGGTTAGGAGCTTTATTGCTACATAATGAATAGCTCTTCATGAGGCACTCTACTTCAGTTTTTTCATAGACTCCACAAGTGCCTGCATTTATTTCCTTCACGAAATAGATCTGAATGATGAATGATTGCTAACACATTATACAACTGTTGTCCATTATTCTCCTACCTGTTAAATAGCCAAAGTGTTCAAAACACTAAACTGCTCATCTCGGAAACAAGAGTACTTGTCCGGGAAATCACAATCCTGGGATTCAGTTTCATATTTTCCCCTTAACTAGCTGTATAGTCTTAGGCAAAACACTAAACTTCGCTGAACCACACAGTCTGCTGCCATAATAACTGTAGATCCATGGTCTTTGAGCACCGCAACATTAATTTCCTAGAAAGGGTGTGATAAAATATTAAAACAATGACCTCGATGATTCATGTCTCCCTGTATCCAGCCACTTTGCAATGTCATGTGGCTGTTCCTCTTATCCATAGACAGTCTAAGTTTTTACCCCTTATCTCTGTGCTGACCTCTGACTTGCTTTGACCAATAGAAAATGACAGAGATAATACGTGTGCATTCCATAGCTTAGGCCTTAACAAGCCTGGTGGCTTTTGCTTTCATGCTCTTGGAAGCCTGAGACTGCCATACTGTGAAGAAGCCCAGTCTAGCCTATTGGAGTTGAGTCTAGTCTAGAACTGAGACACCCAGCCAACAGCCAGCACCAACCGCCAGGCATCATGGGCCTCCCAGTCCAACCAACCTTCCAGCTGAATGAAGAAACATGAACAAATTCAAGTAAGACCATCAGAGAAATGGCCCATGCTTCCACAGAGTTGGGAGCGCTAATAAATTGTGTCTGGTTTAAGCCACTAAATTTTGATGTGGTTTGTTATACAACAATAGTTACTTAAAATAGAGGGAAAGATGCATGAAAAAGTAGTGAGAAATAGGCCCCAGCTAGAAGTTGGTTTGCCCATCACTTTGTTTCCTCTGTCATCTTCACCTGTGATTGAGCCCATCAATGAATATTTCACATTGGTTATTGTAATTTTTAATTCCAAAATTCCCATTTGGTTCTTTTTATATCATCTATATCTTGGCTGAGACTTTCTATTTTTTCCATTGGTTTCAACTAGCTGCTTTAAAGACCATCGTAACCTCTGTGTCATTGCAGTGTTCGCTTCAGTTGCTTATCTTTTCCCATGGGAATTGAGATTGTACTGATTCTTCATATGCCAAGAAATTTTGGATTTTATCTTGTACATTTTGAATATTATGAGACTCTAGGTCTTGTTTAAAGCCTATGGAGAATGTTGAAGTTTTTGTTTTAGCAGGCAGTCAACCTGTTTAGGTTCAGACCACAAGTTCTTTCCAACAGTTGGTCTTCTGAGGACTGCGTTCAGTTTCCAAAGCTTTGGTAGTACTATTTGGATCTGTCCTGTCTATATGTCACCCGGTGGTCAGTCTGGCACCCAGGTGGAGTTCTCAAAGTTTTGGTATACTGTTAATTAGTACCAGACCCATGCATGTACAGGCTGAGGGTGAGCCAAGGAATTTACTTATTTTTAAAAAACTGTGTGGGGTTGCTTTGCCCACCTCTTTCCTTTCCACGATCTCTCTGATATTTTCTGGTTCCCTGGGACCAAAATGCTCACTCTGCCATGTATGTTCTTGACTTTGCCTCTGTATTGGCCATGCAGAGAGAGGACACAGAGAGAGAAAAAGCACAGGGGGGTGGCTCCTGCCTTTGGGAGTGACAGCGTCACTGAAAGGACAGCAGGGTTCCCCTCCTTCATATTTTGGCTTGTGCAGGCTGATGTTGCTACTACTACACTGTTGCTGGGGGCTGGAGTGTGAAAGAAGGGAGGAAAGGGAAAAAAAAGGAGAGGAGAAAAGGAGAGGAAGGAGAAGAAGAAAAAGGAAAGAGGAAAAATCGAGGATTTCCACGCTCCAAGCATTAGCAGCTCCCTTTCTCTCACCGGAGCCAGAACTAGAGGCATCTCCAAGAGCTCTCTCTGTCTGTACCCTGGTGCTCGTTTCTGGTGTGTTGAGTTCCAGCCAGGGCTTACGGGAGGGAAAAAGGGATAAACTCACTGCTGGTTCGGTTGTATTTCAAATCCTCATCTTCTTTCCGGATCTGCCTGCTACTATTTACTTTTCAGAGTCTTCAAGTAGTTTCTCCAGGCATTCTGTCCAGGTTTCCCATTGTGTTTAGTAGGAGAAACAAGGTGAAGTGGGCTTCCTCCAATCTACCCAGGACTGCACACTTTCTAAAGGTAAATCTAGGTACTCTGGTGGGTGAAGGCAACAGGTAAGAGATGACAAATAGCTGGATTTGGCCGATGGGTCTCATAGGTCCTGTGCCCAGGAACCTCGATTATGAAGTCAGCATTCCTAATGAAGAGGATCTAGGGCTGAGCCCGTGGTGCACTCGGGAGGGTGCGGCGCTGGGAGCGCAGTGGCGCTCCCGCGGCAGGTTCGGATCCTATATAGGGATGACCGGTGCGCTCACTGGCTGTGTGCAGTGAGGGCGACACCAAGCCAAGGGTTGCGATCCCCTTACCGGTCACAAAAAAAGAAAAAAAAAAAAAGATGAAGAGGATCTGATTATGACAGATGGGCAGGATGAGAATGGAGGGGAAAAAACTGTCTTCTTTTGTCACCTTCTCTGGTATTCAGGGTTGTGGGTAAGCCATCTTGTTGCTGACCTAAGGTAGGTTTTTTTCTCCAATTCAACAACAACAAAAATTAACCCTGAACTGTTGATTTCCTCTTCATGGTTTGAGGATGTTTCCTGGAAGTGATCGTTTTATTTAGGAAAACTTCTCTCCCTCTACAGGGACTTAGTTTTCACTTATAATCTATTTTCATGTTATCTATAATCTACTTTTAATTCTGGTTACAGCTTCTAAAAACCACTCTCAAAACTACTAATTACACTAAAAATTTGTATTACAAAAGTCTTTCACAGACTTTTCACATGGATTATTCACTTGGCCATTTCATTTGTATACCTTTTCATCTATAGCAAGGAAGATATTGGACCAGATCATCTTTAAGGTCACTCCCAGCTCTAGTCTCATTTGATTCTACAAAATACCCCTTTCCTGCCTGCCTGGAATGGATTTATCTGTCAATGAAATAAAATAAGCATCCATTTGTTGGGGTTGATGAAGGTGATGATCATGTGGTTGATAGTTAATTATATCCCTTTCTCCCTTTGAGTTCTGAACCAATTTAGAAGTAGACACAGATGTCAGGTAGAAATCACAGTATCAGCTTTATTGTTGGTATTGCTGTTTGGAGAACAGGGCATAAACCTGTGGCCAAAGAAAGCTTCCAATTCCTTCTCCCAAACAAATTTTCCACTCACCTGCATGCTGAACAACTGGTCGCCCAGACAAGCCCATAGTCTGCCTGGCAAGCTTCCCACGTGGGGGACTCGCGGGCACATGCTTGAGTAGGAATGGGTAGACTGGCTCCTTCCAGGTACCTGAGCTGAGCATGCTCAGTCCTATTTCTCAGTGTCACCAGTCAGATGAGTCAGTCTTGCCTCCATTACTGCCACTCCTGGGAATAAATATCCCCTCCCCTCTGAAAACTGAAGGAGCAAACTGTCCCCATTTTAGTGTCCCAGGAATCCCCTCGGTCCCAGACAAATGGGGATGGTTGGTCACTCTAACTCCAAATCCACCAAATCTATCACAAATCCGAAATCTTTTTAGTCTTTTTTTGTTTCATCATACTGATGGCCATTCTAGAATAACCCCTATGAGTCTGGCATGGGTTTAGAATGACAGCTTAGTACAGGTAAGCACCATGTAAAGGGCTTTCCACACTCTATTCCCTTTAATCTTTATCATAACTTTATGAGATCAATACTAATATTATTGCTCTTTCAGAAATGAGAGAACTAAGGCTTGGGAAGGTTGATAACATACCTGACTTCATACAACCGGAAATGAAAGGCCAGGGTAAAACCTAATTAGTCTTACTTTAGAGCCTACATACTAACCCCTGAAATGTATTGCCCTTGGGAAGTTTGGCTATAATTGTTAAGGGAGTCTTTTGTTTCTCTAGACCTAAGGATGGGATGAAAACATTTTGGTTACTTAAACGTCCCCATAAATGTATGAGGTAGCATTCATTGCACAATAGCTACGTTCATGACTTCTGGAGCCTGAGAGCTGAGTTGAAACTCCAGCTTGTCCACTTACCATGCACCTGCTGTAGATCTTTATCCTGTCTGTCTTAAGATTTGGGGCAGGTTGTCTACAATCTT